GGTACACCTGATTCATAATACCATTTTGATAGCAATACTAATGCTTTATTGTAGACAAAAGATTCATAATTTTCAGTTATATTATTGTTGGTTGGTTGAGAATTATTAATATTAATATTTAAATGATCAGTTTCGTGACCAATAATTGCATGTTCAATAGGTCGAATTTGAAGATTTTTTGGTCTTAGAATAGTTTGTTCATTCAAATTACTACCATGACCTTTGACATGCTTTTTAAATGATTTGATACAATTAAAAGTTCTAAAACAATTACTTTCAAGACATTTATAAGGAGTAATATGTTTATGGTAAATTTTAAGATGTAGAAATAATAAATCATAATTAATGAATTGAGAAAAGCATTTAAAACATTGAGGCATTTTTAAACTGATATTTTTTAATTAAATTGAATATAAATGTAACAATATAAAAGGTACAAAATACTAGGTACAAAATACCTAAGAGAAAAATATCATAAAAATTAATTATAAAAAAATTAAATGATTTAAAGAAAAGTGGTTTAAGCACGATTATTTAAGTTTAAAATCATTAATAATATTGTCAACACATTGATATTTTTTATCTTCTTCTGTAACGATGCCATAAAAGAATTTTTGAATAAATTCCCATACGTGGTCTGATTGTACAGGGTATTTTAAATTTAGTGCAAAAAAACTTTTGAAACAAATATCAACTGCCTTTAGTGGAGTTTCTACTTTAAATGTGTACTTGTTTATTATAACATACGATGCTGTGACAGTCAATTCATTCTGAGGATCTGAACAAAGCAAAGCAACATATGGCTGAACAGTTAACCCAAACGAAGTAGCCTTATTAGTTTTGATGCTAATAATCTCTTGCAATTGAGCAATATTCTGCAAAAATAAAGTACTTATGTTAAGTTCATTGATCAACATATTATTTTTATAATTACATTACTTTTAGAATAACGATGAAGCCTTCCGAAATTTCTTCATTTGATGGTCTCCAACTTTCTTTTTTTCTTTTTTTTGTTCCACCAACATTAGACGATATGCTCACGGTTAATGATGGGAATATCCTTGGGATCAAGATCAATGCAGCAGTAATATGATCTGATATGTGCATACAAAATAGGAATTTATAATACTATACAAATAAATAAAAATCTTAATAACATAAATTCTTCTATTGCCTGGTGAAATGGATGTTTTTAGATCTGCCAATACCAAATAGTTTGAGTCTTTCACTAACTTGGGTTTAAACTTTTTTATGTAATTTGGTAGAATTCCCACCAAACTAGGAAATTTATCATAAAAGATAACTTCTTTTTGGGAATACATTTCATTAAAATCATGTTCAATCTAGAATTATAAATTATTATTGTACCATGGTAACCTTCATAATGTTATATACCTATAAACATTTTTAAGATTAATTAGAACAAACTAAGTTTTACTAACCAACTGATAACCTTGACCATCTCTAATAGATGGAAATTCTTTAAAATAATAAAGTTCTTCTTTGGAAGATATCATTTCTTTGTACCGATAGTTCCTAGTGCTGTTCCATTTATCAATTACAATATTCATGGGTTCGTGATTATTTTTTAGCCACAGTATATCATTCTCAATAACTCCTAAATATCATATTAATATTAAAAAACTATTTAACAGATACATGTATAAATAATACAATAATATATGAACCTTGATCAGCAATATTATCTGCAGTATGTATGATACTCGCAGACTTATTTAAGACGACATTATTATTTAATTTACGAATATCTTTACGAATATTTGAGTAGCGATCCCACAACTTTCCTCTATTTGGTCTTATATGTCCATTCTCTTTCTTGTAGGGTATGAAGTATGTAGAAGCTGACTCATTCGGAAAAAGTTAAACAATATTGTGAGCAAGTTGCTCTATTGTACATACAGACAACTTTTCATTCGGATTCTTGTGAATATGGTAGTCTATAATTATTCTTACAAGCTGGTTTCTCATATTAAAAGTAAAAAAATTATTTAATTGATAACTTTCATATATATGTTTCCCTTCATGAGATGACATTAAAATTTGTTTAAGTTCTTGTGCAATAGGTTGGAGAATAGTCTGATAAAAATAATCAACAGTTGATTAGAATTTATGAAAATACATTTTTTTCTAACATATCTAGGTATGTTCTAAAAAGTAACAACTCAAAAATAATTATACCTCCACATTGGCTACCTCCACTTCATTGGAATTACTAAGTTGAATATCCTGAATATCACTGTTATTATCGTTAATCACTTCAATTTCGGTTATATTAAAACCCAAATGATCTGTCTCAGATTCATTGCTACATACCATTAAATTTATTACAGCTTCCTATGAAAACAAATATGTTATAGTATTCTAGCATTAAATTATATTTGATTTAAGTATGTACCTCAATTTGCATATTTTGCTTTAAAATATTCAATTGTTAAAGAAATTTTAAACGTATTCCAACTTTCGGTATTATTTCTTTGATCATATCATCTGTTAATGTCATTAATGAGCTTTTGTCGATTTGATGTTCTAATTTTAAAGTATTAAAAAAATGCTTATATAATATTGTTTTAAATTTGAAAATAAGTTGTGAAATGTTTTTTCAATATTTATCAACAATAACAAATACTTAGAGGTATAGCTAATATATGACTTAAATGAAAAAATCTAAAAATCTGGAAAAAAGTTAAAAAGTAAAGGTAGAACTAAACATTAAATTCACAATTTTGTTTATAGAAGATAGCATAGTACTGAAATTATGATTAATGGTATAAGTATTAAGTATACATCAAATTAATCATGTATTATTACTTCTCACTTTTGTAATATATCTACTTGTATTAAATATACGTTGGTACAATTTAATATTTTGTATGTACTAAGAATAACTTGAATTCAATTAGTAAACCTATTTTTTTTAAATTTCTAAATACAAATATTAATACCTAATCATAGTTTGGATTGGCAACGTTAGCACTGAAAATTATACTATAAGTCTATACTCAATGGTCAATACCAGTATTGGGTAGTGATGAAATGCAAATTCCAAATTACCTTAGTAGTAACGCTGTAGTAATTTCTTTATAATATTTTATTTCAATTAACGCAACTGTAAAGAAAATTACTTTTAAAAAATAATTTCTAAGGCGTAATATGTTATTTTCCAAGTTATTAAAATAAGCTATGTATGCAGAATGTATGAAAAAACTAGAGGCTACCTACCTAGGATATTCGAGAAAAACTAAAATTAATTAAAATTGATTCTGTAAGTTTTAAATAATAATCAACAATATTGTTAAAAATCCCAGGAATTAATACTTATAATTCATACATCAACAATGTACCTTCCAAGTTAATGTTACACCTATAATACTGCTATACAATTTAATACATAATAGGGTATTAAAGCTATTACTTATAAGTTGTTATGGACTGGTTTTACATTTCATTTTTTAAAAATTTAATGTTATTTGTAAGTTTGTAATATGCTACTTTTTGAATAAATAAATAATTTTACAACTTATCAAAAGTAATTTACCCACACTGGTCAATACATTTAATACCTAATTAAAAAATAGTTAAGGTACCTTCAAAAACATCCAACAATGTATGTAGATCCCATTCTTTCAATTTCGACACCGTAAATTCATCCATTGTATTTGTATAATCTAGGCAAATTACAGGTAGTTTAACTTAAATAATAAAGAATATTAGGAACCTATGTATAATATGTAGATAAAGGCAGGTATATAGGTACCTATATTATTATTAACTAAAGAATACATAGGTATTCAAGAAAAAAGCATGAACTTTATAAAGGTATGGACACTATGCAATTTATAAGTACCTAACTAGATGTGGCAGGCAATAGCAAGAATTAAAAAAAATGATTTATTGTACAAGGTAGTAGGTACCATGAGTGAACTTGGATAAGTAAAATATTAAATACACTTACCTACTTCTGATGTTCTTAGTTTATTTGTCTGTATCACGAGGAAGAGTTAAAACCGTTAAGTAAAAATACAGAAATATGACGAATGAGTAAGTAACACACTAATACCACAGATTAATAAATATTAAATAACTATACAGTCATATATTTTTTTTTTATAGATTATAAATTGTAATACAGAGCACGACACACGAGTAGTCTGTAGACAGTAAGTCGTAGACGCCACTTCGCCAGTCTGTGCCTGTCTTATCACGCGGCCCGCCATACGTATTATACAACGATGGCCGGAGGGGACTGCGGGACTGTAATAATGTATTACAAAGAATTAATGGGAAACCCCAATATTCTTAAACCGACATAATAATATTATTAAAATACAAGCTATTTTATACAGCTGTATTAACCCATAGTGGATATTTCAACAATATTTTACTATAAATTATAGTTGTATTAACCTAACTGAATAGTTACATTTACAGATAACTGTAACATTTAGTTATTTTTACTAGTATTATTCAACTATTCGTAAGGAGTATACACAACTATTAATTGTAGTGATAACAACTAAACAATTAGTTACGGTAGTCACATAATAGTTAATCTAACTAAAAATTATTTAACTGTTTACTATTACTAAATTATTTTTTTCCGTGAAAACAAAAAGTTTTATGTGTTTTCGATTATTATTTTAATTATTTTATTACTAGTGAAGAGCTACTGCCCGTCGCGTCGTTGCATGATCATATCCTGTACCGGTCACGATAAAATATATAATAATACGTACTATTTTATCGAGGTAATTATGAATATATTATTATTTATTTATATATACAGAAAATAATTTTAAAATAAAATATATATAATATTATAATATTTTCAATTAACAATTGACGATGATTTGAATAGTATTCAAATTAATTTCAACTATCAAAATAATTAGATGTAGTAGTATCTAAATATCTACATATTTAGTTATACATTAAAATAACTTAAAATAATATTTGACTGATGTAAACAAAAAACATTATTTTAATTTTAGAATGTATTTATTAAATATTTTTTTTTAACAAACTAAAAAGTCAACATTTATTTATAAAGATTATTTCTGTACTCTGTACAAAATTTAAAAACTACACCTCTAACCATATTTTGTAACACTCGTATACATAACGCATATTTGTGAAAAAATAAAAATTTATGTAATTCTTATTTTATTTTAACTTTCGACACCAGAAAAGACATCTGAAAGGCTACAATATGGCAGCTGAAACTTTTGATCTGGAAACATTAATAACACTAGTCCAACAAAGATCGTCCATTTATAACTATAAAGATAAACAACATAGTAATAGAGATATTCAGGACAAATTATGGACAGAAATATCTAGTTTATTAAAAGCTCCAGGTATGTAAAATAATTTTTTTTAACTAGGTATAAATATTATACTATAAAATGTATTACAATCTTGTATTTTTTCATTAATACAACACATAAAATAAAATACTTAAACAAATAAAAATTAATAATAATATTAATATTATAATATATTTTATTTTATTATATTATACAATTATTATAATATAATTATTTATTAATACACTTTATATCTATATTTTTATACTAAATATTGGTCTTGCCAAGGGACTGAGCCATTTTCTGAATTGAAGTAGTCCATAAATTTATTTCGTAGTTCAATAGCTGCTGTAGAAGATCTATTATGATTAACAATGTTTGTAGTGTTTCTAATCTCCATATTTTGATCATTACTATTTTCAATTTGATTATGAACTTCAGCAAAGTTAGCTTCTCTAGTCATAATTAAATTGTGAAGTACACAAACTGCCTGAGTTATTTTTGTAGATTTTCAGGGCCGACTAGCATTTTATTTTCTAATACATTAAACCATTTTACCATAATTCCAAATGCACATTCAACTATTCTTCTCGCACGGGATTGTCGATAATTGTATATACGTTTTTCGTTTGTTAAATTTCTACGAGGGAAAGGTCTCATCAAATTAGGTAATAGTGGGTAAGCCTCATCGCCAACAAATACAAAGTGGAAATCTTCATTAATATTTTGATTAATTTTTTTGGGTGCTGGCAAATCTAATTTATTTTGAAATAATTGTTTACCAAATTGAGATTCTTTGAAAATCCCACTATCACTAGACCGACCATAATCTCCAACATCTATCACAATAAACTTAGCGTGAGCATCAACTACTGCTTGCAGTACAATTGAATGAAACCCCTTGTAATTGTAATACTCCGATCCAGCTCCCGGAGGGCATATAATAGAAATATGTTTACCATCAATTGCACCAATGCAGTTTGGAAAGTTCCATATTTCATAAAAATCGTTTGCTATTTTAATCCAATCATCTTTTTTTGGCGATGGTAAGTAGATAGGTGATAGTAATTTCCATATCGCTGAACATACAGAATCGACAATTATTCCAATAGTTGTAGCTCCCTAACGGAAATGGTAGTGAAGACGTTGAAAACGTTCACCAGTCGCCAGATAGCTGTAATAACAGTTTTAAAAAAAAATTAATTATGAAGTAGAGTTAAATATATTATAATATAAGAATATTATATATTCTAATATACAATATATATATTGTATATTAGACAGTTGATTTAATAAATTAAAAATACAGTTAATGAATCGCAGGCTTACACCTTAAATTAATTTTTAAACATTGTAATTTATTATTATGAAGTTGATACTTGAGCAGGGGCAAATGTGAATAATTATATATTGTACGTTCATATATTATATATTAGGAGCAAATGGAAAATAAAATAATAAATCTTATTTTGTCTATAATTGTATTACCTAACAAATATTCTTAAAAATAACAATTTGTATAAAGTTAAACAATTTATAAAAATAAAAACAAAATCGGAAACTCGCTCAGTTGTATGATAATTTATACATTTTTAACTACAAAATAGTTTGCAAATATTCGTGATTTTGACGAATTTTGTCAATATTTGAACTTCAAACGCTCATAAAAAAAAATGTACCTATGTATTTTGATATTTTTGAATCACTCATAGAATAACTTATGTTAAACTTTCTAATAAATTTTCAAATATTTTAACGCAGCCAAAAAAAATGTATCGACATTTAAAAAAAAAAAAAAAAACAAAAAAAAATGAATAATACCTATATTAATCTCCGTTACCATAAAGTATTATATATTATTATTATATTGAAGCCTTCAAAATGTATTTATATTTTAGTTTCAGAATGTAAAACAAAATGGACTACTTTACGTAATTCATTTTCCAGACAGTTACGTGAACAGAAAAAAATTCCATCAGGATCGGGTGCATCAAAAAAAAGGAAATGGTACTTATACGACAATATGGCGTTTCTGACAGACTATATGATGCAACATAAAAGCATGGTTAGTAATCTCATTGAAGATGATTTAAACGAAGCATTAGATTTAAACTTAGGAGAATCCGAAATTCTAAATACTGTGGAAGAGCCTTATGACGTGTCAAGCGAATTAACTCCAACTTCTATTATGTGTGAAGAAACAATACAAAGCTCAAACTCTTCGCAGATATTTAAAAAACCAAAAAAAATAAAAAAAGTTATGGCAAGTGAAATGGTAGCAGAACCAATGATTAATTATTTAAAATCAAAAACCATTCAAAAAGTTGAAGATTCTCCAGAACTTTTATTTTTAAAAAGTGTCATACCAGATTTTAAAAAACTGAACGATAAAAATCAGCGGAGATTTAAAAATACTATTTTGAGTTCACTAGACAAATTACTCGATGAACAAGAAACCTCGTCTGCGTCATCAATTATTTACTCAAATAACTTTATGCCATCGTATTCAAACCAAGTACCGATCCAACAACATACACTTTATCAGTCTCAACCATCTTTGAATAATGAAACCGAAACCGACCGCCATACTACACAGTTTCACTATTCTGAAAGTCCAGAGTTTTCTTCTTCAGAAAGTTCAACATCATACCAATAACACATCTAAGTTACATTTAAAAATAAAATCTCCTACCTACTTCAACACTTCAACAACGTATTAAACTACATATTATCTAGTATCTTTGTTATTTTTTTTAAATAACAAACACAATTAAAGTATTTAATTAAGTACGTGATTAAAAACTAATGTTATTATAATAAATAAGTTATGTTTTTATTGTAAAAATGTCCTCAAGATCAATTTTAAAATTGTATTTATTTATTTCCTACACACATATTTTAAAATAAGAAACTAAATTATGCATAGAACACTTGAAAAGTAATTTTTGTTATAGGTTGGTATCGATGAGTACGTATTATAAATGCATACCTAATAAATCAAAAGCGGCAACTTGTTTATATTTAATCTAATTTATTTTATAATTAATTAAACTTTATTTAATTTAATTTTACTTACCATAGAGTGACTAATAATTTTTCATCTGGTTTAATACTCATTCTGAAGTTGGTATCAGGTTTTTGAATTTCTTCGGTTATTATTTTCAAAATATAATTAAAGGTTTCGGAACTTACACGCGTAAAATTTTTAAATTTCAGCTCGTCATTACGAAGTTCACATAAAAAAGATTGAATTAAGTTACTTTTTGTACGTTTTTCATTTAAAGGATGAACCCACATTCTTTTTTGTTTTTCATCCTCTTCGATATTTAACAACAAAGACCACAAAATAGGCACAACAACGTCCTCTTCGTCGGAAGACATGTTGGTGACTAAATATGATTTTACTTTTTTGCTTTTTTGGTGTGCTGCATATGCTGTTTTATTATGACTAAGTCAACTTGGAGCAAGATTACACAAATGGCTTCAAGCAGTTTTGCTTTTCTAGTGTGCGGTGGGCCTAAGTGGTCCTTGATAAAACCTACAAAAATATGGAAATTTCCTTAATTTTAACATTTTATTGTTCTATAAATATGAAAACAAAATACCTTTACCTTTTAGGTGGATTTTGAAAAGTATAGAAAAACTGTTTGTTTTCTTCTTTCATCAACAAACTATGCAAATTAATAACATTTTGAGGAGTGAATGGAAAACATCTACGCCACATGCGACACATTCGTTCAGCAACTTGCACGAAGGTGTAATCAAGAACACCATTAGGGTAACTAATAAATAGATTGATCCCATTTATAATTAATTAAATTACAATTATTATTATTATAATTATAAGTAATTTCATAATTGCCAGTATGGTATGTAACAATATCTCATATACTATCATATAATAATATACATTATATATAAATTACGTAAGTGAAATGTAAATTAGATAAAATATGGTTTATATATATTAATTATGGAATGGTAGTATAAATAGTATTTTGTTTATATTACTCAAAATAGATACTAATCATAGTATGTACAAAAATAATCCCATTTTTAAATAAACCAATCAACTACGGATCATATAAACTGATTACTATAATAATATTATTTATTTTTGTGATTTGTGTGCATTTGTAGTGTAAACTGCCCAGACGAATGACGTCTGCAACATTTTATTTATTACAATTTACTATTCAATTACATTTACTTTTATTTTACAATTTTTATAATTAAAATATTGATTAAATTTGAAAAATGAATACGGAAATGTTAATTGAATTGGTCAGAGAGCGACCTTGTTTATATGATATGAGTATCAAAAAATACAGCGATCATGCATATAAAGAAACCATTTGGAGAGAAATCGCTGCTATATTATTACAAACAATCTATAATCCTATTCAGAATGTGGAATATGACTATTTTTTTAAAAACTGCTTTTAAGTTAAATAATTGTAGATATCACTTATTTCAGAATATAAAACAATATAGGTATAATCATAGTTAGGTAACTTATTCAAAATATTTTTCTAATTATTTTACTTGAAAAAATCTTTTTTGTGTCTGTGTACACGATAAGTAGTCGAAATAATGCTTCGATTTTCAACTTCAGTATCTTGTTCGATGGGAAAGTGAATCTTGTTGGTGCATTCGAGAGGTAACTTTTTAAAATTTCCAATAGTTATCAAAAGCTCCAGGAAAACAAACTAAAAATCAAGGAAATACGGAAATTTTTACGCAAAATCGGTTTTTGACTAAATCAATTTTGGTTTTTGGTGTAACTCTAAAACTAATGACCGTAGATACATGAAATTTTCAATGGTTGTTTATATTAGCATTTTATATAAACAATAAAATTTACAAAATATTTTGATTTGTTTTGTGATGTTTACGGACATTTTTAGTTTCCAATTTGTTTTAGTTTTTTTTCTATAATTGTCAATTAAATTTTGTTTGTTGGTTAAAATTCCGTGAGAATTTAATCCAAAGCTCATATATTGTTACTATAGCAGTTGAAAAATATTGAAAATACACAGGCACAATTTTTTTTATAAGCATTTAAAATTCAAATTTTGACAAAATTTATCAAATTTAAAATTATTTTGTAGTTAAAAATGTATAAAATGTTCAACTTTCATAGCTAAGGATTGAAAATTTAAAACAAGGTTCCACGTAAATAGGTTATAATATATTAATAACTTTATTGATAATAATATCATCAAATGTACTTAGTAATATCATAGGTAGGCTGACTTGACTGACTATTTTCGCTCAGAATCGTTTTTCTTATAAAATTATATTGTATCATTGGATTAAAATTAAATACAATCCATTACAGTGACTCACTTGTAACCTACTGTACAGCAGAGCGACACCCAATTGTTCACCTTTTTTAATTAGATTATATTTCTTTAGTACAAGAATGCAAAAAAACATGGACAAACTTGCGAGACTCATTTAGAAGAGCTCAAAAAAATGCGGTGACCAAATCAGGGCAAAAGTCTAAACTTTAAAAAAAATGGAAGTTTGAAGAAGAGTTGCAGTTTTTAAAAGTGCATATGAAAGAACGAGAATCAATGAGTAACATCGGTACAGTGAGTGATGACGATGAAGAACTGTTTGAAGAGGACAATGAAACATGTCTACCCGAAAAGAACACTGGACTTGATACTGATCCTTCCTGCAATGATACTTATTTTAATAATTTAAGTCCATGCACGTCAACACCATCACCAAAAGAATTTCGCCAACCAATTATTAAAAATACAATGGCCAAAAAAAAAAGCAAGGTATCAATTCCTCCTTCAGAAACGGCATCTTCATCTTTAATGAAGTATATATTAGAGAAAAAAATGAAGAAAACCTGAAGGAAAAAAATGAGCCAAGTGCTATTGATCAATTTTTTTTGAGCATGTGTTCTACCGTCAAGCAATTTTCGCCATATCATCAGCATCTGGCCAAAACAAAAATTTTTGCCATCGTTTCGGAGATAGAATTAGAAAACTTGGGAAGTATACAACAACAGCAACTATTTCATCCACGCTCACAATCTGTATCAAACTTTGATGTACAACCTCAGGTGCAAGCAGTAGCTCCTCAGATGCCTCCGGCATCAAGTCAACATCATTTTCAGTCACAATTCAACAGTTTATATCCACTTCAACAACATTCTGAAGATAGTCAAGAGGCACAAAACTTAACATCTTCAGCAACCAGTTATTTCCAACAGTTTCAAGCAGATACAGACAGAATATAAATCAACAAAAGTTTGTTTATTTAAAGTATTTATTCTTAATGTCTTTGTAAACATTTATTTAAATTTAACAGAATATTGTTTTTATTTTATCAAAAAGTTTTGTTTTTTTATTTTATGAAAAAGAAATTAGATTTATATTTTACACATTTTTAGTAATAACACATTTGAAATTAATTGTATACATTAAAATGAATAAATAAATACATTGTTTTTAAAAAAAGGCAATTCTGAATTATTTTTATTTATTCCCAAGGAAGTTTTCCTGCCGGTGAACACAGAAAATTTTTGAATTTATCACGATTTTCAAAAGCTTCTTTTTGGGCACTTCCCCCATGTCGATGTAATCGTGTAATATATCCAGGTAAAGATAAACCTGATGACATTTCTTTACTACAAACCTCGGTGGCACTTGTTTTAATAAAATTGTGTAGTATACAAGTTGTCATCACTATGGTATCAGCATTTTGTGGTAATGCATTCAGTCTTCTACAATAAATTCGAAACTTTGCTGTAAGTTGGCCAAAAGCGTCCTCAACAACTTTATGTGCTCTTGAAAGACGGTCATTAAAGTTTTTTTTCTTCTGGTCTTCATACATTTGCGGTCCTGGGTAAGGTCTTAACAGATATTTTTTGAGCGGAAAAGCCTCGTCCCCTATTATAACTAGGGGCAATTTTTCATTAGCATCTGGAAGGTATTGGTCATTCGGAATATTTAATTTATTTCTTTCTAAAGCTTTTCCTAAATTTGAATTCGAGAGAATTCCTCCGTCACTATTTTTTCCGTATGCTCCTATATCGACCGCTAAAAATTTATATTGAGCATCCACAAGAGCAAGTAATACTATCGAGAAGTTTTTTTTGTAGTTAAAGTAGAGTGATCCACTATTAGGAGGTGCCTCGATAACCACATGTTTTCCGTCCAATGCGCCTATGCAATTGGGGAAATTCCAAATATCCCAAAATTCTTTAGCGATTCGCTTCCAATTTTCTTCACTAGGAATTGAAAGATACTCCTCCTTTAGTTTAGAGATTATTGCACTGCACTGTTGAATGCCCCAATCTAAAACTGAAAGCAATCGATTGGTAAGAGTCACCTGTTCCTAAGAACCTGAAAAAATTCGTAATATAATATGTTAATTAATACATTTATATAATTTACAATAAATTATAATATTTATTATAATACATTTATAAATATGTATGAATTCTAAATTGTTTATTTTTGTGATAAAATTATTAAATTCACTTACCTCAAGCAAACAGCTAATTTTTGTTTTGGCGGTATTGCTTCTCGAAAGTGCGTATTTTGTTTGGAAATTTTACTTTCAATTTTTAAAAGTAGAACATTAAATTGGTACTTTGACATTCGAAAATATTTAAAAAATTTGTCTTCATAGTCTTCTAACTCTTTACACAAAGTTGCATGTTCTCCTTCCACTTTTCTTTTTTTTTAAATGTCGTGAACCCATATAGATCGTTTTTTGACTACCACACGGTCAATATTTTCCTCTTCTTCGGCGTCGAGCAATAACGCCATCATTGCCAAATCTTCAAAGTTTAAATTACGAAACATGTTGGGAACAATTTCCGACCGTTCGACACGAAAATTGGAATCAACTGAGTGCGTGTCTGTCGTTTTTTGTCGGTCGTGTGTGAATTGAACATGATTTTTGTCTGTCGTATAGTGTCGTGCCGTGTCGTGTCGTGTCGTACCAGTGTGAATCGGGCTTTATCCTGAACGTGCGCAGTCACACTACACAGTACACACATTATTTGTTCATTATATTTCATATAAATAATATTATCACTTGTAATTTAATTGTTCAGTGATTTGTTATAAACTTTTAATTTATTTTAACCTGATAGTATTTTGTTCATTTGTTCGCGGTTCGCCACGTCTGCAAAATTTACAATATTGTACAATTTGTACCTACAGGCTTCAATATTATTTATTAACGCAAAGGTAAGATATTGTTTTAATTAATATAATATTTAGACTCAGTGTTGGGGAATAACTTAACTATTAAGTTGCAAGTTACTATAACGAAATTACTTTTTAAGTAATTTGATAGTAATTTAATTACATTTTATTGTAAGTAATTTCTATGTGATTTGAGTTACTTTTTTGAAGTAATTATTACTTAATTAGGTACTCGTTACCTTATTTGGTTTAATATATACACTAAAATGCGATCTAAAATTAGTGACTGTAATTCTGAATAATATGCACTTTTGTTTAAAATAAATTTGAAAAATAAAGATTAATATTTAATGTGTAGCAAAATGAGTATTTATTAATAATTTCATACCTATTATTGTTGGTTGTCATTATTTCATTATTTAATATTTAGTTTATGTATTGTCGTAGGTATTGAACACATGGTTATTAAGCTCCAGTGATATTCTTGAAAAAAGTAACTTTTATTGTAATTGAGTTACTTTATAAACTCAAAAGAAATGTAACTTGACCAATTAAAAAAAAAGTAACTTAAAATTAATTTAGTTACAATTTTGATTAGGAATTAGTAATGTAATTTAAATACAAAAAAACAGAAACTTTCCCAACACTGTATTTAGTTTACTAGGTATAAGTACTATAGGCAGTGTGAATTTGTACCTTTATTGTTCTTTGTATAGGTATCTATATAACATATTATTTTGTTATTTAAGTAATATGAGTGAAAGGACTAAAAGGCGTAAAGTTAAAGAAGAAATAGATGTTATCAACAATTGTATTTATACACAACTAGACCATGCTTATAAATTAAATGATAATGTAGAAAAATATGTTGACCAACAAAAACCAAATACAACTTTGAGTATATTATCCAAAGAAAATATTACATCCACTTCATGTTTGAACGTTCCAACTAATAATACTATTGACAAGTCAACTAGTACAAGTTTTGATTTTACTAGACATAATAATACTACATGCTCTGAAACTGTTGATACTTTAGACACTTTAAGTACTGTTAATTTGTCATCTACAAATTTATCATCTTTTCCACACAATTTAGCAAACTGGGCTATAAATTGTAATGTGTCATTGACTACTGTAAATTCCTTACTGTGTGTATTAAAATCATTTGAAGGTGTTCCTATTCCAGTGTAACGTGGTCGGGGATGACCCGTTAAATATAAAATATTCAGGGAAGAAATTAATTCTTTTGAATATATTTTTACCGTAGCTCAGGAGCACGAGTTGTATTAGGATGATCTTAATATTACAAATAAATAACAATTGATTTAGATTATGATTAATACAGACAAATTTATTATTACTTACGAAATACTAACAACGTTACCAAAAATGTGGGTCTGTACCGAGTTCAGGTGCGCGTGATGGAATCGCGGGGAACTGACTGTTTCTTACATATCGATATTGGCCGTAGCCTTACAATAAAATAAAATATATAAGTGGCACCTTAACCGGAGGGGCTTGATATATTATGGTATAAGCATCATAATATGCACAATAGGCATATTATGATGCTTATAGACGTAATGATGTGACATACGTTACA